AACAAATCTAAGTATTAATTTTGGGCTTCAAAATTGTAATGGACTCTTACAACATTTTAGAATTAAAAGTAATCGTTGGGTAGGGAGTCGGTACGGTATTATACCGGTATACCGCGGTATTTGAAAACATTTAGCATTTTTGTACCGAAATAAATCGGTACGGTATCATACCGTACCGAAAATGACAATATACCAATATTTCGGTATTTTCCGGTATTTTTCGGTACGGTAAGTGCGGTATACCGATTTTTCGGTATTTGTGCCCACACCTATTCATCACAATCCTTCACAACAACACATGCATGAGAAACAAACCATCTTTCTTACCTTTCCTTCAGAATCAATCTTGCATAAACGAGAGCGCTTGGCAAGAGTTTTAGCATTGAACACAGAAATCAGTTTCAAAAGTCCTACACCTTTACCTGCCCACATCGCAATGGTGTTAACTGCATTATGTATCCGTAGTTTTAGAGGTAGAGGTAAATCAAGCAATCCTAGGGTCTTAATTGGTTGAAAAACCTATCTCAATTTTCAATCTTGTGTTATTTATACAAGTGGAATCTTCTTCTCTCGATTCAATTCTCTGATTTTCTTTCACCGGGATAAAAAAATCCTCTAGTCGTGTGTATATTTTTTTTGTTTTTTCTTTCTCGCCACACCAGGTTTATCATTTTTTTAGAGAACCAATTTATAATTTTAGAAAATATAAGGGGTTGTTTTTAGGACTAAAATGCAAGTAATAAAACAGTTATACTAATATGTCGAGGATGGTGAGATGGCATGAAACAATAGTTTGATTGGTTTAAAAAGTTTGGTACCCGTACTTTGGGCAAATTATATCGTACATCCGGGTGTATCTGTACACCCGGTATTTTTGTAAATATACCAACTTCAAGCTTCTGAATCAGCATTCGCTCCACCCTTTTTCCTCTTCTGCAGGCATCATCTTCACTCCATCCTCTTTTTTCTTTCGCAAGGTCTTCTTTTTCCTCTTTACTTTCTGTTCTTCCGCCGCATCCTCGTTTTTTTCTTTTCTTCCGCAACATCCTTGTTTCTTTCTTTTCTTCTGCCGTTCTGATTGTTACTCCGTACCTTTGAGTTTTCTTTTTTTTTTTTTTTATTTACTTTTACTGCTAGCCAATTGTTTTTACTTTCTTTTGTTTTTGTTTTGTCTTTTTTTTACTTCTTTTCCTTTCTTTATTTGTTGTTTACTTATTTCTCTTTTTCATATATTATACCAAGCACATTAGAAATGAGTTTTACCTTAAACTCAAATGAACTATTGAATTTTCATATAAAACGCCTAAAAATGAACTATTGAATTTTCGAATACTCATTTTGTAAATTATATATATTCATTTAGTATCTCTGTTATGCTCATTTTTAAAATGTTTTCACCACTAATCCCACCGGAAAAGGTCACCCCAACGAGCACCAGTCATCTTCTCCGAGAAGTTCGTTGCGTTTCCTCCATCTCTGGTGTTGCAGAGATTCTATAAGACAACGTTAATGCTCTATATAAACTACATTTCACTGAGATTGACCTGACAAATCAATCCAACCCTTGTCACATCGCTCTCACGTGCCAAATGAGCATAATGTTTAAACTAAATGAGTATAGACAAATAAGGATTTGAGCACATTAGCAATTTCAAATGACATTTTGGATTTTTCGATACTCTTTTTGTAAGTGGTTCTTAATACTCAACTGAATAAGTATGATTCTCATTGAAAGTGTTTTAATACTCATAATAAGTTTGATGCACATTAAAAGATCATTAATGTTCATTTAACAGAAATTGTGATTTTTATCTCAACAGAGAAGGTTTGATGCTCATTGAAAATGTCGTTATGTCAAACTAACAAACTTTACGATTTTCATATCAATTAACATTTTGTAAGTTACGTATGCTCATTTTGTATTGATGTTATGCTCATTTTAAAATGTCATATCAATGCATATTTCAAAAGTATCATATTACACTAAATTCACATATTGAAATTCATAAGAGTGTATTATAGATATAATTTAATAAGTTTTTATAAAAGAAAAAATAACAATAAGAACAAAAATTAGAAGATATGAAGTTGAGATCGTGTTACTCATTGTTAGCCTCGTAATACTCAATAAAATAGGTTGGATGCTCACTAAACGTACAATATTGCTCATTTTACGGAAGTCGTGAATTTTCGCTTAAATTACAAATATGCCACCGATTTTTTTTGACCTGTATCAGTGATTGGGCCGTCTTTTTTACTTGGGCCGGGTGTACCTTGTCAATCACAATTCACAAAGGCACAATAGAATTTTCCAATTTTCATATATTAGCTTAATGATTGTACCAAATTCACAAGTCGGAGAAAATTAGTGATAACTATGACTTCTTTTCGGAACCGAAATAGTACTGTACTAGTACACTACTAGAGCCGTCAAAATGAGCTGAAACCCGCGGACTGGCCCGTTTAAACTCATTTATTGGTGGGTTAGAGTTGAAAATTTCTGACCCATTTAGTTTGCGGGTTTCGCGGGTCAACCCATGCGGGTTATGGGTTTAAGTGGGTTGGCCCACCGAGTTGCGGGTTGGCCTGCGGGCCAATACAACAACAACAACATCCAAGCCTTAATCCCAAAAGAAGATATTCATATTTCGATTCATGTCATGTGATGTGACTAAGTGATACTGTTGGTTGTCACGTGTCTACCACATCACCCTCCTCCTTTATCCTGGCTTGGGACATGCATGATACCAAAAAAATGATCTCATGGCGGAGTTCTGTTAGCCAATATACAAAAATATAGTTTTAAATTTTATTATCTTAAATATTATCCTTTTACTACCAATATTGTTATAATTACAAATAAAAAATTACAACCATGGCAAAAAATATATATATTTCAATAATAAATATTCAAATAAAATGTTGAAACATATATTTTATGTGAAGTTCAATACAATATTTAACAATTAGTAGCCATCATTTACAAATAATTAATCAAAAGGTTTATGTAGATCTTTATTTTTATACAATGAGTATTTTTGTTGCATACCCTCTTATAGTTTTCAAATTCTCGTATAACTAATATTTAATATTTTTTAATTAAACCTAACAAGTATTGAATTTTTAGTATTTTGATTTTTTATATTTCCTTTGTTACTAACTAATATAAATTTATACTTCCGGGTAATTATATTTAATTATATATATATATTTTTATACATATTGGCCCACGGGCCAACCCGTTTAACCCATGGGTTAGGTGGGTTGGATTAGGGTTGTAGAAATTCTGGCCCATCATTAAACGGGTTGGCCTGACCCAACCCACATAGACCATAACCCGTCACGGGTCGGATCGGTTGGGCCGGATTGGCCCTTTGACAGCTCTATACACTACTATGTGTGATTTTTCCCATAATACACTTCTTATATTTACCGTAATAAAATGATACTAGTTACTGCTATTGATGGACTCGGGCCGGGTGGCCCGACCCGGAACCGGCCCGGGACCGGCACTGTTCCGGCCCGGCCCGGGACCGGCACTGTTCCGGCCCGGCCCGGGACCGGCACTGTTCCGGCCCGGCCCGACCCGGTGGCCCGGTCAGTGACCGGTCCGGGTAGGCCCGGCCCGTGGGTTTTCTGGTCCGGGCTCGGGTCACCCAAAACAAGGCCCGACCCGGCCGGGCCCGGTTCGGGCCAATTTTTTTTTTTGTTTTTTCAATTTTTTTTAACTTTTCGGGTTGGGCTGGGTATTTTGGGCCATTTGGGGTGGTTTGGGGGGTTGGGGGTGGGAGGGGGGTTAATTAGGAAGAGGAAAACCAAAAAAAATATATATAATGGGCCCGACCCGGCCCGGACCCGGACCGGACCCGGTGGTTACCCGGGCCGGTCCCGGGTCCACCATTTCTGACCCGCCGGCCCACCCGGGCCTAGACCCGACCCGGACCCGGCCCGGACCCGAGTCCAACCCTAGTTACTGCTCCTCATCATCCCCTAGTGCTGCAAAAGCTCCCACCTATGATGGAGCAAGAGAGGATCGGATATACGCACTACGCAATCTTACCCCGTACTAAAGCACAGAAAGAATGTTTCCGGATGATCATCGTGTCAAAAATTGCATGAACTGACTGTTGCTTCATAACAAATAAACATAGACAGTTTAATGAGCCATTTTGTTTTATTCCATTATATTTCCAAGCCAAAAAATAGTGAATTTTTTGCTCCATTTCAAACGATGGAAAAAATATTAGTACTTGTAATGTACACCAAATTTGTTACTATGCAAATACGAAGTACTAGTTACTACTATGTAATAAAATTAATTTGTTACTTCATAGCACATTTTTCTTGGGAAGAACACAAAATAATATTAGTACCTGTAATGTACATCAAATTTATACTAGTTTTTGTTGAATACTAAACAAAAAAGTGAATATGACAAGTATGGCACACAAATTTAGAGATTAGAAATTTAGAATGGAGTTGCATAAACCTGTAGAGTAAATTTGAAGCAAGGGAGTGGAAAACTAGCTGATGTTCAAAGTCAATGATCTATTTATGGATTAAGAATCATATACTATTTATGGATTAAGAGTCTTATATTCTTCGCAAGTTACAATTTCTTTATAAATTAATGAGCAAGTCAATAACACCAAAGGACCATCCCATAAAAAATCAGTATAAAAAGATAGCATTCTTATTCAGTTTTTGGAATAGCCCCAATTCTTTCAGTTTCCAATGAACCAAAATCAAGGACTTTTGAAAAATCAAGGATCCCAATTCAAGTTCTCTAAAAACATTACTCAACCTTAACAGACTCGCCTTCATGGCTTCATAATTGAGACTGAAGGGATTTAGTGTGACAAGAATCAATCTAATTGAGACTGAAGGGATTTAGGTACCAATTGGTCCACTTTATGTGTGTATTACCCGGGCAAGGTCATATCATAATGGAACATAGCTTCTTGAATACATATCTGAGACATTCCCAGATTTGTCCATGGTTGAGGAAGACAAATTTTCACTGATGCAATATTATCTTAAGCAGAAAATCAGAATAGTTGATAATTTCACCATTATGAACTCTCAATTTAGGACCATCAGATGCACTTAGAAGGGAAGTACTTTTGAACAAGTGCCTAAAAAAAGAAATGCTCAACTGCTTGTACACACTAAGACGTACAATGGTACAGAAGAAAGGAAGGATTTCAATTGTTTTCAGAAGGAAACTGATGTATCAAGCAAGTGCCTTATTGCAGCAATAACATCACCTTTATGCTCTCTTAGTGTCCGTTCAGCAAACTTCTTGTCAACCTATGACATCACAATTCAAACAGGCATTTATATTCCATCATAGACAGATGGGCATTGCTTAACGAGTAAAGAATAGACGCATACAAACAGACAAACCTCGAGTTCATTGGCGATTATATCGATATGGGCAGCATCTATCTTAACAGCAGCTAATTCCTTCTCCCTGGATTGGAATCATTTGCACGTGTCACGTCCTTCTTACTAAAATCAGGGGCATTATAAACTTTATCCACCAAGAATAAGATACCATCTAGGCATGTGTGCTTCTTACTAGAGTTAGTGCTTCATTTTTTATATAAACTATTTACTCCTCTGTCCCAGGAAAAATCTTGTTTGACATGGCATGCTTATTCAGAAATTGTAATTGAGTGACTGCGGTGTGGGCAGTTCACATAATTTTTTCTTTAAAAGAAAAGGTAATCCTTATTCAAGGACAGAAACAAAAAGAAAAAGAGGTACCAGTCTGCGACACCAGAGGAGTATATTTTTAAGTAAAGCACAGATCAACCTGATTTTTAATAGCTCTATAAATGAAATATGTTGTTCATTTGGATGGGTTAGACAGCTTCCACTTCATATTTATTTTTCCCGCTAAATACTAGTTGGGTAAGCTAAAAAACAATTCATTTGTCACTTGTGCTCTAATTTTATAGATTGTATCATCGTTGTTATGTTCGTGTGCTGGACCGTAAGACCGCATGATCTTACAGTTGGAGAAGGCAGGCGATCTAGACCACAGCCACAATCGAACAAACATGACGGCAACGACAATGGCAGTGCCAGATTGTTAGATCACCGCACTATAAACACTGTTTCGTCTTAGTATGTTTTCTACCTTGTAATTTTTTCAATCCCATACGTAGTATATTTTTAATAAGGTATGTACAAATAATTTAATAGACTTCTCTAATATTATATTTCTTCTGAAGTCTTCTAATTTATTATTTTATTATAATACCGAGTAAGTGAGTAACTAATTATTGAATGCAGTATTACAATTGCAATTTCTAAAAGTTCTAGTATTTTATTACTTATTAGTATCTGCTTATGTGCCTGCAATAGTTTTTTTAAATTTAATAGTTATTGCTGGATGTTTATGCATTTGGATTTTATTTTAATATGGCTGAATCATGACGTAGTTTAGGAAGACTGTTTTTTACATAGGTGGTCTAGGACTCACGATCTTCCACTTCCTCCCAAGCCTAACTAAGACCTGGAGTTTAAAACTTGGCATTGAAAGTCTTCAACAATATGACTCTAAAACATGCAAATTAGTGAACCATCATACTCCCCTCTATGTCAAGAAAGTAATCTAAAGGGGTGGGGTGGACTATGCAAAAGCTCTAGCAGGGGTACGGGCATGGTTCAAAAGAATCAAAACAAGGTGGACCGTTAAGACCAAACATACTCAACTTTATATCATACGATCATAATCATACAGGTATTTCTTTAAGACTCTATTCAAGGACGTGACCTTCAGGTCACAGGACAACAGCTTCAGCACATGGTGCTAAGGTTTCCCTCCATGCAAAGTAATGCTAATTGTGCTAAGATAATATTATAAGATAAACGTGTAAAGTGGTAGGCATTCATGACGATTTTTCCCAGTTTTTAGTAACACAGCAGAAAAGGTAAACTAACAAAATGAAAAACTAAACAGCACCAGTTTTTTCCTATTATATCAAAGGAGACCAAGTCTCTTTTAAGCAAAATAAGTAAAAGCATCAAACATCTTAAGAGGTGTTTGTTCAGGTGGGCGAAATTATAAAAAATGATTTTTTATATTTACAATATTCGATTTGCTAGTAGATTAGGGGAAAATGTCTTTAGAGGAGCTCAAAATCCAAAGGTGGGGATAAAACATTTCAAGGCGCCAAATTTAAGGCATTATCTTCAAACTGTGTAGGTTTATTTATATTCTTGGATTTAAATGATAAAGTATGATACTCAATGGAATAAAGATAATGAAGTTAATTAGTAAATTGAAAATAAATCGAAACAGCAAATTCTTGACAGGAGTAATCAACAAACCTCATTCTCATAGCTTGAAGATCAGCTTCCTTCGTAGCAGATATTGAGGCCATAGCCTAAATTAAGTAAATTCAAAAATAAGATTCATAAGCACGGGCACTAATTACATGAAATCCTAAACTGTTACATATTGGGGCGTTCTGAATGAGGATAAATATGGATACCGATTGGACACGCGAAGAGTTGAGCTGTCGGTCTTCGACATGATCAGTGAGCTTATCGAAGGCTTTGCTCTGCTGCTGCAAGTCTTTGGAGTCCAATATCTCTAAGGCTTCGTCTCCCGCCTCCATTTTGCTCAATGCTGCTTATCTTCGCCGCTGTGTGCTTGCAGATGAAGATACAGAGGCCTGATATATATAAATTGGGCCGAGCATAATAAGAGGATGGGCTTTATATAATAAGAGGATGGGCTTGATATCTGGTTTGGGCAAGCGGGGAGGGAAGACTTTGAAGGAGTGGAGAAATTGAATGGAATGAAACGTGACATTTTTGTAATGGGGAAAAGACTTTAATAAGTTCTCGAACTTACATAAAAAGAGCAAATAAGCTCTTATATTGGAGGTTTTGTCCGGCCGTCACCATTTGAGGTAGTTATTAGTGGAATTTTTTAAAGACATTTTTAGAACATCTTATGAATTATGTCTAGTTTACTTATACCAAATTTCAGTTAATAAAACGGCAATAATTTCTATAAATAGTGTAATAAACATTCATTCATGAATAATTGCTAGGAAAACACTTCCACTTTTTCACTTTGCAATCATACAAAACCCATAGGCCATAGCTGATGAGAAGTTGCATATTAGAACTCTTTGATCAATATTTTATGGTAAGTGCAAGTAATGTCACACCGAACAAAAAGAACAAAATATATTTTAGGATGTTTTTTTGAGGACTGAAATTTACTGATCTGGTCTAGTCTGATTTGATCTGGTCTATTGAAGTCTGGTCTGGTCTGAACTGATCTGATTTGATAAATGTCGGGTCTCTGTGTATTTTATAAATATGAATGTTTGGTCTGGTATGTTTAAGTTTGACCTGATTTAGTCTAGTCTGATCTGATCTAATCTGAAATTGAAAAAAGTTCAAAAGAAAACTTCCTAATAGTTAGAGTTTCTATTAAACTAACATTTAGATTATGGTAAAAAAAATTAAATTAGAGTTTTTTTCCTTGATAAAATGTTAGAGCACAATTCAGATATTGTAAAATTGTAGTACTAAATTTAGATATCATAATTATTCCAAAAAATACCATTCCAAAAATACCAATATACATAAAACCACCAAAATCTTCACAATTATTCCGAAGCATAAACCATATGCAAAATTCCAAATAATCATAACCAATAACCACAAATATGACTTCCAAACCTATATTAAATGAGTAATTCACATATAATAATGAGAAAAATACGGAGAAGATACGTGTGGTTGAGCTCGTTTTCAGATAGGTCATCTGTTTCACCTTTTTTCAAGGTGGTTCATGTATTTGAATTTTGTTATCAAGAGAGTCACGCCGTTAAAAATACTAGAGAAAGACGGTTAATAGTAACTCTAATTCTCAAAAGTGTCCGAAAAATTAAAAGAAAAATACCAAAGGTGCGCCTCATCAAGATGACCTCCAAACCACCTTGGCCTTTGGATTTTTTTGGATTTGATTGAATTACTTTTAGTGGACTTTCCAGTGACAAGGGTGTCTGGAAACAAAAAAAAAGACGGCTTAGCCATCGAGGCGCGCCTTCTGGTGTTACTATTAACCGTCTTTCTCATATGTTTTTAATGTCGTGCCCCTCTTGTGATAACGGAATTCAAACACATGAATCATTTTGATAAAAAAAATGAAACACGTGACTCTATCTGAAAATGGTCTAATTACAAGTACTTTTCTGTACTTTTCCCTATAATAATTCAATAACTTAATACACCTCAATTCAATCCAATCCCATCAAATACAATCCAAGTAATCCAATCAAATTAAATTCACCTCGTGTCCAACCAAGCAAATCAATACTCAAACCAATCAAAGTGTAATCAATATCTCAACCAATCAAAATACAGTGGAAGGGGAACTCATATACTCCCTCTGTCCCTAATCTTTCTCCCTTTTCGGCTGGGCATATTTATTAAGATAGTGAGATTTGTGTGGTGGAGAGTTGTGCAGAGGAGAGAGAAATGTGTAAGAATGTGTAAGAATGGTTGTGAACCACAAATTTTTTGCTAAAAGGGGGAAGAGGAGATAATTTTGGGACGGACGAAAAAGGAAAGTTTGAAGATAATTTAGGGACGGAGGGAGTATACATTAAGTGTGCACACGAGATTACAAGTCCCCGGGTAGTAAGAAGCCCGAGTAGTCAGGATTTTTCTACCAACTACACTACAATTATGTTGGGATACTCCGCTTTTGGGAAGTATCCCCAGTGGATTTTGACTTATAGTCATTACCAATTTACCACTCACCAAATATTCCACATTTATCGAGATATGGCAAACTGACACCACATATTTCTCCGTATGCTCACAAAATCATAATTCAATCTCAATCAAAATGGATGCGAAATCCAAACTCTACAAAATGATCCACAATGTAAAATATTAACTCGAACAAACTACACTCAAATGTATCAAACATTAAAATTTCACAAAAGAGCCCAAGATATAGAATACTCATAACTAGCTCAAATCCCAAATTTCAATCCAACAACAATTCATACGTAATTGAAATACTCAAAAATATCATCCAATATCTCATAATAATACCTTAATTATCAATCACAACTAATATGAAAATTTAAATGCTGAAATTCTCATCAAGTGTCAAATACTCATAATTTCAAATAAATAACTATAAACAAATTTACGATGAAAAAGTATAATTTCAATTGACATATACCTTACCTCAAACTCCAAGTACTCTAGTGAAATCTTCTACTTTGCCCCTCAATGAAATCACCTTCTATTAAAATTCAAAAATCAATATCCTATCAACTTAGTAAAATTCTTGTACGCTTATTTATAATTTCCCTTCTTATAATTCTCTTATTTCATAATTTATTATTGTTATTATCAATACTAGTATGAGCACCCGTGCGTTGCACGGTCGGAGAATTTTTCTTTCAAATTTATTTGTGCTCACCAATTCAATTTGCACCATCGATTGAAGAAATCATCTATCTTCATGCAATATTGATATAACTCAAAGCAATAAACGAAACACGCTTATAATATTATGATTAAAAAGAAAGCACTTTACAGTACATAAAAGATTAAAAACATCTAATAAATACGTAGAAAATGTAACATTGTAAATATGCATGTAACCCTAAACACCCTTCTCTCTCTCTAACCATTAAATGTATGAAATCAAAGGTTAAGATTGAATGTAAATTGGTGTGGTAGGTTTGTAATTAAATTGAACTTCAAATGGTAATTATAATAATAGTGATCAACGATTTTAATACGGAGGGCAAAAGCGTAATACTCATTAGCATTTAATTGGAAGAATCAGACACTCCTCATATTTCCATATATTTAAGATCATTAATGGTCACACTCCAAATGTCCGGATTATTAATTACCCATGATAGCTGATGTTCAGATTCACGTATTACATAATATAGAGGTGTTTGGATCTGATTCTCAAAACTGATTCTGCTCCTTCAGGGAGCAGAAGCAGAAGTTGGAGTGTTTGGGTGAAATTCCAGAAGCACTTCTGGTGCTCTAATTTACTCTCAGAATCAGTTTTTTTAGAAGCTGGGGGGTACCAACTTCTGAAAACTGATTCTGATTCTGCTTTTACTTTAAAAAAGAAGCAGAAGCAGAAGCAGAAGCAGAATCAGTTCCAAACACCCCCTAAATATACATTTAAAACGTTCACTTAAATTTGTGGACTGCGTACCTGCACTTTATATCAATTCAATTTGCACTTTGTAATTCAGAAGTTTGCACCTGATCGAAGTAAGAGATTACAAATGTGCTAACATGCACTCACAATGATGCACATGTCATATATAACTTACAATAATACTCCCTTCGTCCTATCAAACTTGGCCAACGTTGACTTGCACGTAGATTAATAAAGTAAAAACGGTATGATTGATATTTGTACAGAGGAGAGAAATAAATTTAGCCCCATATTTGTTACTTTAAATGGAAATGACAAAGTTTTTTGAGACAACCAAAGAAGGAAAGTTGACCAGGTTTTTTGAGACGGCCAAAGTTTGAGACGGTCAAAGGTTTTTTGAGACGGCCAAAGGTTTTTTGAGACGGCCAAAGTTTTTACATGTGACCTTGCATATGCAGTGCATATGTAAAAACTTTTCTAACAGATGAGTGCGACCGTTTGCATCATCAATTCCCTTGTCCAATCATAGTAAAAACTTTTCTAACATTATTTTTTACTCATTGATCCACATTAACACCCGGGGCTCAAAACAGATAATAGTAAAAATAAAGAACAATCATAACAATTTGTGCTTCATTGTTTATCCCAAAGGATTAGTTAGCATGCAAACTAAATAGAGTTAACACACAATAACAGAGCATGCAAACTGGCATAATAGTCACCAGTAGCACCGTACCATTAATGTGCAATCACCGATTACAGTCCCAATATCTCCTCACGTCATTAGTCATTACTTAACCTCACTCCATTCCAATTCGATGTGAAGAAAACAATGATCGGTTTCAATGACCTTCAAACCTACACCTACTTCAATTTTTTCAGTGCACAACAGCATCTTTTCATGGGAGATTCCACAGGATAAATCAATGTCAATCATGAGAGCGGAAGATGATGGAACAACAATCATAGACCTAGAAAGTGGAATAATCCCATCGCCACTTACCCGCAGACAATCATCTTTCATCTTCTCCAAAAGTACAGTCCGGTAATACTTTTTTTTGTAGCAAGAAGAATAGTCATATTGACTGTAATAAGCAACAAGATTACCGTAAAGCCAACGAAGATTAAGGCTAGCAACCATAGATGACTCCTTTGACAAATAAGAAACTTTTAGACTGACTTGCACGGCGTCTGAGAAAATGTTGTAATGCACGGCTGCAAATGCATCGACACCTTGAATAAGTGAACAAAGTTGCTTGTCACGCCATGATGATAAATCAAGACTTTCAGCCCCCCAATCTACGTATCCCTTTATGTCACTGTTGTCTAAATGATTATCATCAACAAAACTGAGATCAAATTTCATTTTCAGGGGAGTACACTCCTCATAAAGTCGAGAGTCGCAGTCTATAATAGGTATGGTGGTTTCCTTGCTGTTTATTGACAACTTCAATGCATCCTTCTTATCTCTCTTGAAGATGTAAAATGAATGATTATCATTGCAAAAAACCTCCACCAAACCATATACTTGCGCTAGCTTGTCCTTCCCTCGACCAACGAAAACAGAGAATACTTCCACGGCCGCAGATGGGAATGGGATGCTTTTATGAGGACGGAGCTCCCTGTCATGCCATTCATTAAGAACAAATTGTAAAGAGGTTTGAGTACTAAAGAATCACGCAATACAGATTATGCATATTATATGTCATGTGATGTTTTGAAAAATATAAGACTCAAATATGTTTTTCATCCCTACATATGTATTATTTTTTGTTTTAGATCTTTGCAAAGTATTTTTATTTTTCATGTATACTCTTTCCTTTATAGACTTTCTATTTTTGAGATATTACTTTTTCCGAAGGTAGTCAAAGTCGTGAGGTGCACTCAAGGCGATGGGGTAATTCCGGCGCCTGAGGCGCAAGGCGCAAAAAAGCGCTTGCCTGCCTCATGTCAGGCGCATTGCTTAGAAAATATCACACATGCTATTCTCCAATGATCAAGCATGGTGTATATAACACCATATTGAACCAACTACAATAAAAAGTCATGGTTTGATCAAATAAAATCATGTTTCACCAAAATAAAGTCACGATTAACCAAAATAAAGTCACGATTGACCAAAATAAAGTATATATACAACAACCTATGACACAAAAAACGGGCTGGTAGTATTTTTACATGATAAAAAAATGTTAGTTTGGTAGTATGGACCGGTAGTATGTATACATGGTCAAAAAAGGGTAGTTTGGTAGTATGTTCTAAATAGTATGTATACAGGTAGTATGTACTTCACCAAGAAGTAGCTGGTAGTTTACATATACATGTGAGAAAAAATATACTAGTAGTTTACATATATGTGTTTAAGTTGTTTAGACGGTAGAATTGACTAACTGAGACATATCACATATAAACAAGAGTTCTACAGAGTACAAAAAGAAGTATCTAAGAAGTATCTGTTAGTTTACATATACATGGTGAAAAAATATGCTGGTAGATTACAAAAAGAAGTAGCTAGTACTTTACACTTTACATATACATGCTGAAAAAAATACTGGTAGTATGTAAGAAGTAGCGGCTGAATGGAAGATGAAGAAGAAGAAAAGTTTACTTTCATCGTTGAGTGCTACACTGCTGCAAGCTTTGCGGTTGATGTGGAGGGACAGGAGGAGGTAGTGAACAGGTAACAGTAGAGAACTGTAGAGCGCATTTTAGGAGGAGGTTTACGTTGTGTGTTTAGCGTAGGTTACGTTGTTTTGACCTTATTTTGACCTTATTTGCATGGGCTTTATTAAAAATATGGACTTCTTAATGGTATTATTTGACCGCACATGTGAAACAGCCTCGGTAAACGTAAAATAAACGCTTCCCCAATCAAACGCAATGGGCAAGCGCCTAATACGACTATTGTGATTCAACGCTAAGCTGCGCCTAAGCTGCGCCTGATGCAGGAGGGTGCCCTTGGTCATCTTTCAAGCGCTGGACCTGTATTGCGTTGTGCCTGGTGCGCTTAAGCACCCAGGCGCTCGACTTTGACTACCTTGCTTTTTCCTAAGTAAACTTTCCACTATTTTTTATTTATTTTTGAAAGACTATTTACAGAATTAAAACTAAAAACAATTAATCATTCATATCTATAGTAAAAGTTAAGTTTTTTAATAATCTAAGAAAAGAAAACTTGTTTTTCATGTGTATTTTTTTTGTTAATAGGACTGGCGAGGGAGGGGCTTAAAAGAAACGTCATAAGTCACATGGATATAAAACAAAAATGATATTCTTATAGGGGCTAAAATCATATCATGTATTTATATTAAAACAAATAAATAGGTATGAAAAATATTTCACTGCTAGAGATATGCAAAGTGAGCACATACCATGGTTCAATATCATCTTGCAACATGCCAGTTGCTTCTATGAGTGGATTGGGTGAGGATGGTGTCATTGCATCATCATCAGAACAAGACTGTCAAGATGTAAAACATGATTTTGGTTAAGTTTAAAAAATCGCAATTAGAAATTAAAAATATAATGAAAAATGATTAAATAAAATTTCACCTCATCATGTGGTCCTTCTGGCAGAAGATAAAACCATGACACACAAACTTCAACTAAAATATCCCCAATTGTAAAATTGTCCCCCGACATTAGATAGCTTTGTGCTCTTAATTCGACCTCTTCTTTAAGAATCGTGTGCCCTGTTTCAAATTCTGACAAATCCAAATCCAAGACAAGAGAAGAATATCCTGGCAAAGCGACCCAACACCTTGAGAGAGGTAAACTGTTCGCGACTTCGATATTGACTTGTTCAAATTCATGCAGGTTCTTTTTGAAAAGCACACTCTCTTCGGAGTCATAATTACCATATGTGTTTCTATAGCGAGCAACAACTCTGCCGTTAATCTTAAAACAATGGGACCTCTCCCTTGTTCTCTTACAATGTTGTTTATGAGAAAAAGATATGTCTACCCGAGCATAAACCCCAAATGGAATTGCAACGTATTTCAATACTAGGGATGCTCGGTCACTGTGAATACATTTCTCAATAACTTTTTCATAATCGTCTTCCTTATTTTCATTCTCTAAATAGAAAGACTCTTGAACAAGTACATTTCGATTCAAGTCTAGTAGTTCCAACACCATCCTAGTTTTTGACAATGGCATGCATGCTTCAAATGGATAGCATGAATAATCCGGGCTTATGAGTGTTAGCATACCGCTCGCGCCCACCACCTCAGCCTCATCATAGTCTCGCTTATAAAGGTCATGGATAATCATTTTTTCACCCGTGACATCACAAAACTCTCCATAAATCCTACCGTAGATGGAAACTGGTTTCCCCCCATTTACTTTTTTGGTAGGTAGGATGCTCAATGAAATCACCTGCACTAAGGGCCCCACTTGAACTTGACGACTGCCATTTTTCTTTTCTTCTTCCCTTCTATTATTAAGAGAACTAGCACGGAATTTGAAAACATCAAAGAAGTCTTTACATGAAACTGGCAGATCTATATTTTCAGCAATCTTCTCTATCTCTTTCCTTGAAACATTCACATACTTCTTCATAAACTTATCCACATCCATACTTTGAAGCAAATCTCTTGCCAAATCTGACTTCAAAGTTTGTATACTCCCTCAGTATTTGAAAAAGTAGGAGACCAGGCAGAAAGTATGAAAGGGAAGATAAAAAGTAGAAAAAGAGGTGATTTAGTATTTTTAAATGAAAAATTTACCAAAAAGAAAGTGTAACAAACTTTAAAATACGGAGAGAGTATTAACATGAGAAGCCACACTGCAAAACATAAATAAGCACAACTGAGTGATTTAGACATAATAATTATCCGAGGAGTTTTTGCCACTTTTAGTCCTCCGACTTTTACGTCCTTGACACTTTTGGTACTCGACTTTGATTTTTTCCACTTTTAATGCTCGACTATTGCATTAGAGACACTTGCATATACCCAAAACAGAATAGTTTCGAGCTTGGTACCGTCTTTGAAAACTTTCATATTTAGTTCTCTGACTTTCATAAAAGTGGCACTGCCAATAATCTTATACAGTGGCGTATCCAATAATGATATTTTGAATTATTGACTTTCATAAAAGAGACACTTAATAATCTTATACAGTGGTGTATCGAGCATGGGGGCAGGGGGGCAGCTGCCCCCACTCAACCCTCACCTAACCCCTATATACACACACACACACACATATATATATATATATATAATTTAAATTTTGCATATATTTTTGTGCTGAACATACCTAATATATATTATTCTAATAACGAAATGTAGTTGTGAAGAGTAGTCTAGCGTAGTGGAAAGGGAGATGTGTGCGTACGAATCCTCTTTGTCAGGTCGAAGGTTCAAAGCCTTCATTCTATTTTTTGTTCCAAACTTTTATTTCTTCATCCATTATCATCCTTATTTTCTTTTTTTAAGTATCGATCAAATTTAAAGTCACTCAATATATACATACATTTTTAGTTTTAATCTATACTTCATTACATTTATAGAGTTAAAATATACTCCGTACTTCATTACATTTTACACTTAACATAAATTTATATATTTAGATATAATTCTGCATTCACAATTTACATTTTCTAAATACATACATTAATTGTCCCTTATTCAACTTATTGATTATTAACGTAGCATTAAAAAATATTTTTTCTGTCAAATTTATAGAGCATGATTTCATATTTTTTAGTTGACCGATAGGTTTTTATTTATAATGAATTTTGTATTGTTTTTCATAATGTGTTAAGTTGCTTGTGACATGCATGAAATAATATGTACCCCCTTCATCTTATAGATTTCTTCTCGGTTTGACTTGGAACGAAGTTTAAGAAAGTGAGCATAAAATGTAAATGTATGGTTGTGGTTGAGTAGGTATATGAATGTTAGCCACACGATATTTTTCAAAAGGAAAATGTTTTGGAACATCCCAAATATAAGTGAGAAGAATTTTATGGGACGGAAAGTAGTATTAACTCGCCCCCACTCACAACAAATCCTGGATACGCCACTGTGCATATATACACAACTATATATAATATAATGTAATATAATATAGTGTAATACTCCTTCCGTATTTAAAAGTTCTCGACAATAGGTTTAGGCACACATTTAAAGTGAACTAGTAGGGGTATTGAATAGTGTAGAAAAAGAGAGAAGATGCAAAAAGTATGAAAGAAAAGATAAAAAGTAGAAAAAGCAATGGTAATTGAGCACTTATAAAGGAAAAACTTACTAAAAAGGGAAAATGTAGCAAACTTTTATATACATCCAGAAAAGGAAAGTGTAACAAACTTTAAAATACGGATGGAGTAAAATATATTATAGTGTAATGTAATGTAATACAACACAAATCAATATAATATAATATACGGAGAAGGCTGGATAGATGCCTAGTGAATGATGATTTCCTAGACTGTTTTTCCCAGATTAAATTGACAAACTTAAACCAAACCCCTTCTGATCACAGTCCTGTGTTGATCCGGTATTCCAGTGTAGTAATCACTATCAAAGTGGGCCAAATTCCAAAATATGTGGCTTTCTCATAAAACTTTTCTTAATACTGTTGAGAAAAGTTGGAATGAAAGCTTCACAGGGGGTGGCATGCAAGGTCTGGTTATTAAACTTCAAAGACTGAAAAAAAAAACACTGAAAAAGTGGAACAAGGACATTTTTGGCAATATTTTTGGTGGAATCAAATTCTGTGAGGAGGAGGTCTCTAAGGCTGAGCAGGAATTTCTGGATAGACCTACTGATGCTAATAAAGAAAGCTGGCAGCATAAGAAGGCTCTTCTTTTAAGTAAGTATAGACTTGAAAGAAAATTTTGAAAGCAAAAAGCACATATCAAATGGCTTAAGGATGGTGATAGTAACTCCCACTACTTTCATTCTTATGTTAAAATCAGAAGAAGGAAACAGATGATTACCTCTATCAAAGATTCTGCAGGAAATGATCTTTCTACTTAACCAGAGATTGGTCAAGGGGCTGTGGACTTCTTCACAAATTTATATACAGATGAACCTGTGAACACCAATAATGATATTTTGAGAAGTATTCTTGCAATCATTAATCAAGAGGATAATATATACGCAGGGTCGGTCCTGGGAATATGAAGGCCCTGCGCAATAAAAAAATCGGACCTTCCTTTCCAACACAAATAGAAACAAAAAATAAATAAAGATTATAATAGTGATAAATTAATGATATTTTTTAATAAATATAAGTTATGTATGAATAAAATACTAAAAATAAAAGTATTCATTAATAAAACACATTTTATTTTCAAAGAGACATTCTTTGTACACACAATTGTTACCAAATTGGTAGAATTCATCTACTAATCATGTAAAATTAAGTAATACCGATTTCTTAAAGGAACTTAAATTAACAACCTAATAAGTAATTAATAACATACTAATATACTATACCAAGTTGTTAATTATAACTAAAAAATTAGTTTAATTACATATGATAAAAAAATAGTTTAATTACTTCGGCAATTGGCTAGAGAAAATCAGAAATAACAACCTAATTTTTAAAATTCCATCATAGATTAGTAGGCTTAGTGGAATATTCCTAGGCACTAATGATCCTAAATAATTAAAATCAGCAATTCAATCACAATATACTTCGTATAACATAATAATCAGGGAGATTAATAAATAATAATCCATTAATCCAAAAAAATAAAAATAAAAAATCAATCTTTATAGTTTAAAGGAGAAAAACTTACCTGGGCGATTAATGAATCGTGATGTGTTGAGCTTCTGAGGCGATGGAGAGGACTGGAGGTGAGAGGCGTGGAGCGGTGGCCGGTGGGGCAGTGGCAGCCTGGCACTAGCGCTTGGTGGCGGAGGTCGACGCTCAGACCTTCGTCGTCCTCCTTCCGTCGTTCACGACTTCACAGCTTCACTCCTTCGTCGCTTCTTCCTCTTCGGACTTCGGTCGTTCCTGTCTCCACTCCAAAGTAGGGGCTTCTTCGGTTCTTCTGATTTCCCGTGACAAGTCGTCAAGTGCGCAGGTCTGAAGTTGGGCGCAGGTATGAAGTGGGCCGGCCCTGGTTGCGAATTGTGTTGAGCGGAGGAGAAGGTGAATTACAAAGAAGTACGTAGTATTTCAAAATGTTTAATTTTCTTTAAAAACATATAATGGGGTGAAATGTATAAACGGTACCTTAACTATTGTTATTGTTACATTTCGGTGCCTACTGCCTTAACTTTTAAATGAATAATGATATCAAAAAAAAATTAAATGAATGAATTTCATATCATAACTATACATAATGTTTCAATTCACAATATTATTCAAAATTCTAGCCAAAAAACCTTACGCGGAGTAATTTTGAAGGCGATAGAGAATTATTTTTGGCAGTAAAATTGAATAATATTCTTAATTGAAACATTTATGTATAGTTAGGTACTGATTTGATTAATTTAAAAGTTCAGACACCAAAACACAACAATATCAATAGTTAAGGTATCATTGATGCATTTCCAGTGCCTATATTGTACACCCGGGTGTACACGTACCACCGGTTTTTTTGAAATTAGTAGCAAGTTTGAGGTTAGTTAATATGCTGAGCTGCTCCCTTTTAATTACTCCCTCCGTTCTATATTTATCTTCACAAGTACAATTGGCACACATATTAAGATAGTGGGAAATGTATGGTGGAGAGTTGTGCAGAGGAAAGAGAAATGTGTAAGAATGTGTAAGAATGGTTGTGAACCACAAATTCTTTACTAAAAAGGGAAAGAGGAGATAAATTTGGGACAGACCGAAAAGGAAAGTATGAAGATAATTGCGGGACGGAGGGAGTAATAATTATCCACCACGGTTCCACTCCTGACGCGCAACATCCTTGCTTCATACGTTCCTTTCTTTTCTTTTGATTTGTTTATTCTTTTTCGTACGTTCCTGATGCGCGATCTGCTCTTTTTTTTTTTGCTTTTCATTTCATTTGTTTATTCTTTTTTTGTTTTGTTTTTTCTTTGTTCTCCTTTTCTTTTCTTTTCTTTTTTTGTTTTTTAGAAATCTTATACTTTAATGTTATATTCAAATATTATGAAAATGTATAAAATAAAATATTATTAAATGTTTGAATCTATTTTTTAAATTTATGTAGGAGTTGATTATAGATATATGAGTGCAAACCATGATACTCAATTGCATGTTTTCAATACTCCATATAGAAAGTTTGATGCTCAATAATAATGCTCTGCAAGTTCAACTTAAAAAATTATTATTTTTTATATCAAAAATCATTTTGTAAGTTACATTTGTTCAATTTGAACTCATATTATGCTCACCTTTAAAATGTCACACTCATGCTAATTTTAAAAGTTGCATATATGACATTATTAGATTCACATTGTTAGGTTTCTAATACTCAACCAAATAAGCTTATGCTCATCGAAATTGTTTTAATGCTTATAATAGATTTGATGCATATTAAAAGTTCATTAATGCTCAAAATTATACTTGTATTTTTTTCCTACTATAAGAACTTATTAAATTTTATCTAAAATTCACTCCTATTAATTTCACTATGTGAGTCTAATTTAATATGATACTTTTGAAATATGGCATTTTAAAAATGTTCATAACATCAGTATCAAATAAGCATACATAACTTACAAAGTGCACATTGATAAGAAAATCGTAAGATTTGTTAGTTGAACATCATGACATTTTAATTGAGTATCAAACCTCCACTATTGAGATGAAAATCAGGACTTCTGGAGAATGAGTAATAATGAACTTTTAATGAGCACCCGACATATTCTGTTGAGTATTAGGAGTCTAATATTCAGAATCTTGATCTCTGCTTCATAACTTCTAATTGACTTTCTTTTTGTTATTTTTTATCGTAATGTTTGTTAGTTGAACATCACGATATTTTAATTGAGCATCAAACATCTGCTATTGAGATGAAAATAATAGTTTCTTGTGATTGAGCAATAATGAACTTTTAATGACTATCAAACCTATTATGTTGAGTATTAGGAGTCCATCATAAAATAATACTTTTAAAAAATGCATTTATATGACATTTAGAAAATGAGCATAACATCATTATCAGATGAGTGCATGTAACTTAAAACATGAGTATTATGAATTTGTTAGTTGCTTTGGAGAATGAGATGAAAATCACGACTTCTGGAGAATGAGTAATAATGAACTTTTAATGAGCACCCGACATATTCTGTTGAGTATTAGGAGTCTAATATTCAGAATTTTGATCTTTGCTTCATAACTTCTAATTCACTTTCTTTTTGTTATTTTTTATCGTAAGGCTTGTTAGTTGAACATCACGATATTTTAATTGAGCATCAAACATCTGCTATTGAGATGAAAATAATAGTTTCTTGTGATTGAGCAATAATGAACTTTTAATGAGCATCAAACCTATTATGTTGAGTATTAGGAGTCCATCATAAAATAATACTTTTAAAAAAATGCATTTATATGACATTTAGAAAATGAGCATAACATCATTATCAGATGAGCGCATGCAACTTACAACATGAGTATTAATGAATTTGTTAGTTGCTTTGTTGGTTGAATATCACAACATTTTCATTCAGCATGAAAACTCCTCTATTGAGATTCGTGAAAATCATGATTTCTATTAAATGAGCATTAATGAATTATTGATGAGCATCAAACCTATACAAATGAGCATGTGTAACTTACAAGATGAGTATTGGTATGAAAATTTTAAGTTTTATTTGTTGAGCATCAAGACATTTTCACTGAGCATTAAATCCCCGTTATTGAGTATTAGAATCCGCGATTGAGTAATGATTTGTGGTCTCGTGTCTATAATGAACTCCTGTATAAATCTAATGTAATGTGAGACTTTTAAAATATACGTAGTACATTGCTAAAACATTTTAAAAATGCGCATAATAGAGATACTAAATGAACATACATAACTTACAAAAACGAGTATCCAAACGGAGAAGGTTTACAACATCGAATCCACAATTTTAAAAAGCACAATAATTAAATTTAGGATCGAAGTTTTTTAACCTCTGCAATCTGCATATACCAAATTATTGGAGTTGGGCAATCCTTATCATGAAGTTTCTAGAAAGAAATTCAATTGATTGGCAGCAAAAGTTAAAAATAATTTATTGGATTAGAGCAATCCGCCAAACAAATGTATATCATTCTTCTCGCGCTTTTCTGGATGAATAAGGTACAAGGTGATGGACAAGTCAAAGAGGAAAAGTGTTAGAAGTAGATGCCTGTGCAAAACGAGTAAGCGGCTGAAGAGAAAAGAAAAGAGAATGGAAGAAAGATCCAGCGAGAAAAGGTAAAAGAGGAAAACGGCAGAACATCAAGGAGGATGGAACCAAGATCCAGCGAGAAGGAAGATGGAGGCTGTTCGATTGGTTGGGACTTGTTAAAGGGTCTTTTGACGACCAGAAAACCTTTTTGGGTTACTCTGGGTCCGTTTTGAAAGTCCTCGTTCTCTGCTCACATGAACTCGCCGGAAAACAGAGTCCTTGCCGGTAACGACGGTTAGTAACCCCTGGGAGCAGTTTTGTTGGTGGGCGGCTACTTGGGTGAACGGGTTGCTAAACTGGTGGGGATAATGATGAAAGGTGGTTTCGTAGTCGTCGGATTTGAACGTAGGCATGGGTGACGTCTCCGGCTTGTTACTTTACTCTATTCCTCTGTTGCCTGACCGCCGGGGAGACGCATGGCTATCCAATGTGGTCCTAGCCCCAAAACAATCAACTTGGAGGATGTGCGTGGATTACTCGGACCTGAATAAAGCTTGTCCCATGGACCCATATCCGATGCCGAGGATCGATCTGCTAGTTGATGAAACGGCCGGATGTGAATTTTTAAGCTTCATGGATGCATTTCGGGGATATCACCAGATTTTCATGCACCCAGATGATGCAGAAAAAACAGCGCTCGTTACTTCAGATGGTGTGTTCTGCTACATTGTCATGCCATTCGGATCAAAGAATGCAATGGCTACTTTCCAGAGGATGATCGGGATGCTCTTCAAAGAAGTGCTGGGAGTCCCAATGGAGGCTTATGTTGATGACATCCTTGTCAAGAGCCGGAAGAAAGAGAATCATGTCCTGGACATAGAAAAGGTGTTCGGGACAATGCAGAAGGCTAACATGAGGCTAAACCCCAAGAAATGTGCCTTTGCTGTAAAAGGGGGCAAGTTCTTGGGATATATGATGAGCGAGAGGGGGATTGAGCCTAATCCTGAAAAGGTAAAGGCAATCGTAGACATGGAAGCTCCTAGGAACCTGAAGGAGGTCCAAAGATTGACCGGTCGGTTAGCAGCCCTGAGCAGATTCTTATCCAAGCTAGCCGATCGCGCCATTCCTTTCTTCGAGATCATGAAAAAAGCCAACCCCTTTGAGTGGACTGCTGAATGTCAAACGGCCTTCGAAGATTTCAAGGCATACCTATCTTCTCCTCTGGTCTTAACTAAACCCGACCCGGGGGAACACCTGTATATGTACCTTGCCGTGGCTGACCTGGCCGTGAGCACGGTGTTGTTAAAAGAAGAGGATGGCATCCAACGGCCAATCTATTTTGTAAGCAAGGCTTTGAACGGACCGGAAACCAGGCACACTCTGCTGGAGAAAACAGTACTGGCCCTGATAGCCGCCATTAAACGCCTGGAACCATACATCCAGGCCCATCCGGTAACTGTGTATACTACTCAGCCACTCGCCACCATCTTGAGAAACCTAATGGCTAGTGGGCGCATCACAAAATGGAGTCTCCTGATCGGCCAATATGAGGTAGATTTCAGACCTCGACCTACTATCAAGGGGCAGGCCCTGGCAGATTTCATTGCTGAATGTACCGCTCGGCCTTCGGAAAAAGATACAGAGAACAATGTGTTAGATAACTGGTGGGAGATGTATGTAGATGGTGCATCAAGTGCAAAGGGTTGTGGAGCCGGAGCTGTGATCACATCACCCGAAGGGTTCAAGGCATATTACTCCATTCATTTTGACTTCAAAGTAACCAACAATGAGGCCGAGTATGAGGCCCTCATTGCTGGTTTAAAATATGCAAAGGCCCTGGGTGCCGATCGGTTAAAAGTTCGATCGGATAGTCAATTGGTGGTCAACCAGGTAAATGGCACAG